TCATTCGTGGTGACCTTTTGTTCTCCTTCAAGCTTACCAAAGTATCTGTCAAAGCCTGCTGACATGCGGATCGTGAGGTTTTGCTCGTGGGCGAAATCCCGTCCCACAGCAGCTTTCAGTCCGTCCGGGTTTTTCAGATCGAGCTGCCCGTTGAAATAGAGATCATTGATGTAACACAGCAGAGAATCGACTTTACTTGGGAACTCGTCACTGGCTGAAATCGTCGTCTCTGACTTCTGTGATGTTTCTGTGATGTCAGGCTCGGCTGTGTGAAGAAGGATCTCCCTCTCCTGCAGCCCGAGCGTCGTCATGACCTTGTAGGAAATGAAGTCTAGGATGTCGTACTTGTTTTTCATATTCTTGAGCTCGTTCTTGACTTCTGTGAAAGACTTGATGATGATGGTGAGCATGAGGTTGATGAGAATCATGCTCGTGCTCAGAGAGAACACGAAGAACATGACTGGGGACGCCTGGTTCGCCTGAGCCATCGCCTCGAAGTTGAATTTCCCGAGCATCATCGAGAAGCACATCTGGACGGACGCCAAGAAGTTCGCAAACTCCTCCAGCTGCAGGTTGAAGATGGTGAAGAACAAGGTGGTGAAGCCGAAGAACAGAATGCCGAAGGTGAGGAAGAACACCTGTAGATCGTCCCAACAACGGCCGAACGTGAAACCAAGCAGGTTCATCCGCTTGTTAAACTGCAGGAGCTTGATGAACTTGAGCGTGGAGAAGAAAATAATGCCAGCCACGGCATACAGGTAGAACAGGTCCAGCAACGCGGCGTATTCCATTCTCACGTAGCCATTGCCGTACGTCTCGTCGAAGATCTTGAGGACGCGGGAAACCTCCATGTTCCTAAGGGTCGAGGAGAAGCGTTAGAGAGAGTGAGAGGGGGGAGGGGGGAGGGGGGGAGGGAGGGAGGGAGGGAGGGAGAGGGAGAGAGAGAGAGAGAGAGAGAGGAGGGGGGGATAGATAGATAGAAAAAGAGGGAGCAGGAGAGAGAGAAAGAGAGAGAGAGAGATTTAAGCCTTTCTTGTGAATATTCAAGGGGATGTTACGTCCCAGCGAGAATTTTCACTTCAAGAGAAAATCAATAAGACAGAAAGCAGTCAGAAAAATTTCACAAGATATCAATATATTTTTAAAAACTGCTCATTTTTATGGTTGAAATCTGAACTTCGCTTAATGTGTGGGAAATATATGCTTATTCGTGTACACAAAAGCTACAGAAAAAATCCAACGGAGATAAAAACAAACAAACATTTAAAAGGTAACAAAATAATCATAGTAGATACCACAGACCACAAAGTAATCTACGGCCAAAATTTCCAAACTGATTCTATATATATCATTCCTCATCCTATACCTATAGACGTAGAGACCAATCGCCAAGTATGACGTAAGGATGATGGCGATCTCCGCTAAGTTCCAGTAGCCTTTCAGATACGTGAATAAGCCGGACTTGTAGCATTTCCATATCTCGCGGAAGGTGAAGAAGACGGTGGCGACGACGAAGCCGATCTCGTTCAGCAGGATGAAGAAGCCGAAGCCTGGAAGCAACGGCAGGGAGTTAGGGGAAAGTGTTGACGTGCGCGGGAGAACGGATGGGAGGATACATGTATTATATGTGTTTGTGTATGTATGTTAATATATATATATATATATATATATATATATATATATATATATATATATATATATATATATATATATGTGCATACATATATACATATATACACACATACACGAACACACACACACACACACACACACACACACACACACATATATATATATATATATATATATATATATATATATATATATATATATATATATATGTGTGTGTGTGTGTGTGTGTGTGTGTGTATGTATGTGTGTGTGTGTGTGTGTGTGTGTGTGTGTGCGCGCGCGCGTGTACATGCGTGCATGTGTGTGTGCAGGTATTTATACAGGTATAGATACCAGGTGTGCGTTCATGTATTTGCGCGTGTTCCGCATATGAACATGCAAATGAATTCCCACAGCGCCCCGAGTCCCCAGAGCGCAGCCGTGTCACCTACCTGTCCAGGGCTGAATGAGGCGCGTGGAGTCGAAGCGCCAGTAGGGCCTGATGCCTCCTCCAGGAAGGAACTCCGCCATGACCGTGCCGATGCCGAAGAGGTTCACCTGAGGGGAGGAGGCCGGTCAGGGCGAAAGGAGTGAGGATTTACCTTTTCTCTCTTTCTTTTTCTTTGTGTGTCTCCGTCTCTCTCTCTTTCTCACTCTCTATCTTTATCTAAATTTTATTTTTATTATTATTATTGTTATTATCATTATTATTTAGAGTCAACAGATTCTATCGTTCGTGCATATCTTTGTTGGTAGATTCATAGTTATTTGTTGACATAGATTTTTTATATGGGGAAATAACCAGCTACATATGAATGAAAGCAAACATGACATTCGTCTTAAACTGTGCAAATGTTTTCATATTTCCAATAAAACTATTACCGTATATTTTGTCAATTATCCCCTATACTTAAATTCTTAAACATTCGATAATTTTATCTACTTCTATTGATAAAAAATGAAAAAAAACATCATTTGATAGTAAATATACAACAAACAACGCACATGATTTAACCTACAAAATATAAGAACTCTCACAATGACCAAATTATATATATATATATATATATATATATATATATATATATATATATATATATATATATATATTTATATATATACATATGACTATACCAAAATTTCCGTTAGAGAAAACCGCTGATCACGCTA